AAGACTGCATGTGAGCATTGAGTTACGTCTGAACTCAGTTGTGACTCATGACTCCAAGGTTTAAAGAGATAAAAGTGACTTTAGAAAATATACACCATTTAAATAGCAAGAAATGTGACTCCAGGTTCTTATCTTTCTGTGTCAATCTGCTCCTCCCTTCCTAATGATAAGGCCTCTTACGCCTTCCTGGGGGTCAATTTGACTCTGATAATGGGTCACATGAGATGGGTAAATGCAGTCCAGGGAAGTTGTTGAGGGGCAAGTTGAGCTTTAGAGTGCTTTGTCATGTCTCAAATGCTTAACTGTCTTAAGTGAGCTTGACTAATTGGGTGTGAAGCGCTTTTGTTCTGGGAGCCAAATCAAAAAATGAGAAAAAAATAGAATAGAATAGAATTAAATAAAAACTTTAAAGCCCTAAAACAAACCAGGAATTTCCTTACATGTGGTTAGTTGAAATTGATTCTACATGTACCCGTGAAACCTGCATATATGTGTTTATCAAGCATCTGCCTACGTCACAGAGTAGGTTGACTGTGTGAGGAGAGGGCTGACCTGTGGTTATAACGGTCCTTGGAGTAATTGTGGAGAGGGAAATGATTTGATTCTGATCACTTAGTGGCAGAGCAGATAAGTGTTGGTGCAGTTTATGAGACAAGTAGAACCTGAAAGACAGAGCTAGTTGTTGCCAGAAGGAATTAATAATACATCAAGGAGATAAAGGCTTCTCTCTTAGTTTTAAGCCTGCTAACTATTACCTTCCTTGCTCCTTTCTTCTCTCCTCTATGTTTGCACTTTAAATAACAGGTCATTTAATGTAAAGTATGATAGGTGCCTGGTATGACCATTATCAAAGAGTTTTCTAATTTGGATTCTCTTACTTAGGGATCTTCCTTTTTGGAGATATCAATGTTACAAAAAATTAATATCACATTTTATATATGAATCTAGGATATCCCTTAACATTTGTGAGGATCATGGCTGGAGGACAAATAAAGTCCCACTTACCAGATGTCTAAATACTTAAAAGCTATAACTCAAGCTAGAAATGCTAAATTAAGTATGTTCTATCCTTCCTGAAGATTGGAAGGCCAGGTGTGAAATAAGAATTCTCAGATCCTTGGAATTCTGAGTAGGAATGTCAGGGTGGGGCAATGCCATCCTTTAGCCAGCAGCCCATCTCACTTCTCTGTCTACCCCCTAGAGGCCACTTGCATTTCTATGCTGCAAGTGGCCTCAAACACGAGTGGGAACCCCTCATTCTGTATATTCAAGTTCTATACATATCTCTGCAAACAGCTGCCCTTTGTCTGCATCTTGGGACTAGGGTAAGCACCTTGGTGTCCTGATCCTCCCTCAAGAGGATGGACCTGGGAAGCAGCCTGAACAGGCTCAGGGTGTTTGGGAAGATATTCCTGTTGCAAATTACCCGGAATGTAGTTTAGAAGGGGGATCTCTTTGTCCTGTGGCTGCCTTGCTCAGTGTGGATGGGTGTGGTAAGAAAAGGCAAAGGGGGCTCCTCATCAGTATGGGGTCTGAGAAGAGAGGCCCCTTTTGCTTGGATCTAAGGACAGGAATGAGTGAATATACCAAAAACTTGGTGACGAGTGAAATCACGTGTAGCATGAAATAGTTTAGTAATTTCTTAAAACTTGACTCCTTTACAGACAACTAGTACTGGAGATGAAAACATTGAGGAACCAAACTTCTCATCATAATTAGCCATTAAAAGTTTTACTGGGCACAATCTAAGAAGAGCTGGGTAGGAATTTCTGATATTTTACGTAAGGTGCATCTAAATAATAGATTTTGATAAAACATTATAGGACTAAACCAGTCTCCTATTTTGAGATAAAACTGTGAACATCCTTCCTAGCTGCTCTTCATCTTATATTTAAAAGTCTGTTTTATAATATAGGTGTGAGTATGTGTGAACATAGACTTACTAATAAATTCTCACTGTAAAATATAAATGTATTTCTATCAGCATTATCTTTGTTTATTTTCTTTTCAGTTTTTTATATGGTGTCAGTTTTTTGAATCACATGCATAGGAAAACAGGATTGGTAAAGAGGGAAAATAAACTCTCCCAAGAATCAATTATATCCTAATTTCAGAGGAATCCCAATGTATTATTTTTGAAGGTCAAGTTCATTCATGGTAAATTGCTTTGTAGAGTAGGTTCACCAAGACAATTGATATTTTTTTCATGACTTTCCTTGTTTCTAGTAGCAGATCTTATTTTTGAAGCACGTATGGTTTAATGTTTTTGACATAGTTCTCTTCTTCTTCATGACATTTTACTTCCTTCATTTCCCTAAAAAGCTTTAAAAATGTTATCTACTTAAACAATATTATGCATAAGTTGTGGTTCCTGATACTGGAAATATAGAGCACTGGGAATATAGGACTACTCTGTGCTCTATAAGACTGTTCTTAGGTAAGGGTCAATATAGAAAACTCTACTTATTTGTATATTTGACATTTATTGAACATTTACTAGATGCACAACATTTCCATAAGCAATGGATGCATAGAAATGCCAACAGAGAAAACAGTCTCTGAATAAAAACCTACATCAGTAGTTCTCAAAGTGTAAGCCCTAGACAAGCAGCATCGGCATCACCTGGGAACTTGTTACAAATGCAAATTCTTGGGTCCCAACCCAGTCCTACTAAAATCAGAATCTCTAGGTGCGGGGTACAAATTTATTTTAACTATCCCTCCAGGTGTGTCTGATGCATGCCAGAGTTTAAGAATCACTGCTCTATGTATTATTGAAAGTTGTTAAATTAGAAAACTATATTTATAGTCTAATCAACGTACATTTATTTAGCACCTTTTACATGCCAAGGCCTCTGGAGATACAAAAGAAATGGTCCCTGCCCTCAAAGAGGTCATAGTCTATTTGGGCACACATACCTACCATGTAGCAAACTTTGTGTTAGCCTTTCAGTGACGTGTATGAGAAAGGAGAGTATATAAATATATATATATATATATATATATCAGTATGAGTGAATATTATTGCATTTCAAAGAATGATAAAAATGTTGTTTTTGAGAGAAAATGTTTTAAAATAATTGTGAATAGTAGACTCACAATTCTAATATTGTTATTTTTACTTTTAGAATAAAATGTGTTTGAATTTTTTATTTTTGAGAAGTACGCTTTTCACTAAATGAAACTTTTTTGCTCATTGTTTTTCAAAGATTGTTAAGAAAGTTTACAGCTGACCAAAAATGAATTATGCTTTAATGAGAATAATCAATAATATTTCTTTTTTAATAGTTGAAAGAAGAAGAAGGTATAATATTAATTACCGAATCAAGGAGCTTGGCACTCTCATTCCAAAGTCTAATGATCCGTGAGTTCACCAATCATTTTAATAATGTTATGGTTTCAATCACCCCCCCCAAAAAAAATGGGTGGGAGAGAGGGGGAGGGGAGAACCAAAGACTAGGAAACTAACCAGCTGTGGTAAAGATAAGGCTACTGCTGGTCTCATTTTTTAATATCTATTCAAGGCTGATGGTTATTAAGCATCAACGTTGTTTCTAACACTTGTCCTATTGAGCTATAGGAAATAAGTAAATTATTTCTTCTCAGTATTTAGTGGATTTTTCTGTATGGCATCAATATTTGCAGATTTAGTGGTAGTACCAAATGCTTTCATGATACTGACTGGCATCCTCAATTTATGATTATAGCACTCCTTCCAATTTAAGATTTATGTGTACGTGAAAACTGGAATGTTGAATTTTCAGAGGTTCCAAAATTCTGGCGATATGCAAGCAGAAAAAATAGAATTGTAAAAACAGGCTGATTGATGCCAGTCAATAATCGGTTATTGCAATTAAATTTTCAGCTAGGTTATGGTGTCACACAGTCACAAAGTCAGTTAAACAAGATGATTGAGGTTGTAAATTTCAAGAAATAGTTGATAAAACAAAATATCAATTTAGCATGTTAAGTGTTTCTCTAAAAACATGAAAACATTGTAGCATTAATAATGACTAGAAAAAAATGTTTTGTTCAGACTGAGAACTGGACTCTCCAGATACTGGCAAAAATCCATTATTCAGAAATGATGATGTTTGATAAAGTGATATTTGTGAAATTTGAAAGTATTCTTTCCCTAAATGTAAATGTGCTAGTTCACTTGGACAATTCATCCATTTATAATAGAAGGGAATGCCATATTTATTCTTATGGGCATAGTAGATAGTGAAGGCATCTCCAGTAGAATGGCAGAAAGAGCACTGGACAGAAAGTCTGAAGAACTCAATCTTGGTGTAGGTCCTACCAATAATTTTCAAATCTTTTGAAGTCTCTAAGCATGCAACTCTTTCTGTTAGCAGAAGGGAACATCCATTTTCCAGATAAGACTTTTTTTAACACTTAAAATATAAATGCACATTTATTTACCAAACATTTGATGTAAGACCAAGACCTTTTAGTTTGAATGTGTTTCAATTTTTCTTTCTTACATAAACTGCACAAAAATGTATAGTCTATTTCAATTTCTTAAAGATAAAACAAAAGCTAAGGGCCAACCACCTAAGTGTAGATGGATATTTTTTAATGTTTGCACTCTAATTTCTTACAGCATATTTTTTAGCAACCTATCTCTACTGACATTTTACTTGAGTTTTCCCAAAGCTTTTAATATACTTTTCCTAAGAACAATAGCTATCTTTATAAATGCTTTTTCTTCTTTTGCATTCGTATTTCATTAGTTAACATACACATAATTTAATTATACTATCACAATAATAAGTACAATGGGCATTCATTTAACAGCCTGTCAGTAAGCACATGTCACCACAAGGATAACAGAAGTACCTGCGTGTCTCAGAGAGTAGCCTAGTGTCTACTTTGTTCTGTCAACAGTCAGTGAGTATCACAAAGGGAATGGAGAACATTAATTAATCCTGAAAGTGATTAGATAAGGTCAGTTAAGAGAGCTTCCCTTGTAACCGGTAGAGCTAACCCAGGTAGTGCCAGGCCCAGGTTATATGCAGAAAACAGATGAGACTCTAAAATTGGACTCTGAAGCCTGACTGAACATCTTTAGATGTCACCATGCCTGTAAAGCACCAACTATATGGCTGTGTTTTTATAAAAATAAAATCAAGTAATATGTATGAGAATATCTTAAAAATTATAAAGCTTGTGTGAGGGATAATTCTTACTCTACATTTTTATAGAAGCTTTGGTTATAAAATGACTCCTTTCTGGTTCTAATTCATTGTCCAGAACAGGGGATGGAAAACTTTTCCTCTAAAGGGCCAGATAGTAATTATTTCAAGCTTTGTGAGCATAAAGTCTCTCAAAATTATTCAACTCCACCATTGTAGCATGAAAGCAGACATAGACAATATATATATGAAAGAGCATGACTGCATCCAATGAAACTTTATTGACAAAAACAGGTTGCAGGCTATAGTTTGTCTACCCCTGATCTAGAATATGGAAAATCAATTTATCACAGAATCACATCTGAAAGGGACCATAATTGGGAAAGCTTCATTTTAAGTATTCTTAAGGGACTTTCTCTTCTTTGTGGATTTCAGAAAGAGGAATTATTAATTGTTTTAATTCTATTATATTATATGTAGGCACTGAAAACACAAGAGTATTACATATTACACGTTAGAAGGATAGTAATACCTCATGAAACCTTTGTTGCTGTTATAAGTACAAGGAGCGCACTGGGTCACAATAGAAAACACATTTCTTATGGCAGATGCATTTGAAAAAGTGGGAAAGCCACAGATTTGCAGATACAGCACTGAACTGAGAGAGGAGACCTAGGACTCATCTTCTAAACACCGCATGCTCTTGGGCAAGTAGCAGGAACTCTGAAGCTTTGGTTATAAAAAGGCTCTGAGGACCTTTCCAGCTCATGGCTAGAATAAACTTACGGTTTGGCTTAGCAAATGAAAGCTAATACCTGAAAGCATTTTGAATTCTATGAAGCTGCCATTTTTGTGTATGAAAAACATTCAGAAATTTGTACTTCTTTCTTCTTTGCTGGGTCAAAATAGTATGGTCAGAAGGGAAAAAATATAGTAAAGAGCTATTGTTGAGGTATATATGTTGAGAAAATGAAATGGAAAGCACACAGTCTCTTAACTGTCAGTGAAAAATAAAACCAAACAAAACTAGCAAATACAAAAAGTGAAGCATTTCTACAGATGTGTGGTAGTGATTTACTCATATGTGCTTTTAATCATATTTACAAAAAAATCATATTGGTAGATATAAAAATGCCAACAGAGCATGAATTATTCTAGTTGTGCTATCAAATTATTCTTTTCTTTCTACTTTTTTATATATAAAATTCAGGTATTTTTGTATTGATTTTTTTTATCTTCTACAGTCAGAGCTTTCTCTGGCCTTTGTGTAAGAATGGCAGTTGAGGTAGTAAATGAGACCTAACAAGACTTTCTAAATCAGAAGTTATAAAATGTTGATCAAAGCAAGAAGAATCAGACGTGTCTTGGTGTTTTCTTTCTTTTTTATTTTTTTAATGCTTCTAAGTGAATGGGCACTCCTAAGATGACAACAGATTGTACATTTTCAATAGTTTTGCCTGGCAGCATTCTTACTCCAACTTACATATTTCTGTTACCTGCTTTAGCCCTATATACATTCAAGCTTTTAACTTTCTCAACGATGTAAGTTCTTCAAAGAAAATTATTTTGTAGAAAATGAAAAGCCAGTATCAACATTTGCTCCTTAGGTATGTCTTTGTATGTGTTAGTGTTTATAGTATAATGTCATATATAATGTTTTTTAATGCCTAACTGCATGAAATTATCTTGGGAGAGAGGTAAACATCTCTTTAATATATTTGGAAAACTTGAAATATTTTCAGAAGAAACCTCATATATTAAAATGGCTTTAAATAGAGTGAACTCTTAAACATTTAGTGAAATGACATCAAGTAGATATTTCTACCACAACTTTTTTTTTTAACATCTTTATTGGAGTATAATTGCTCTACAATGGTGTGTTAGTTTCTGTTTTATAACAAAGTGAATCAGCCATACATATATATATATCCCCATATCTCCTCCCTCTTGCGTCTCCCTCCCACCCTCGCTATCCCACCCCTCTAGGTGGTCACAAAGCACTGAACTGATCTCCCTGTGCTATGTGGCTGCTTCCCACTAGCTATCAGTTTTACATTTGGTAGTGTATATATGTCCATGCCACTCTCTCACTTCGTCCCGGCTTACCCTTCCCCCTCCCCGTGTCCTCAAGTCCATTCTCTATGTCTGCGTCTTTATTCCTGTCCTGGCCGAGGTTCTTCAGAACCATTTTTTTTTTTAGGTTCCATATATATGTGTTAGCATATGGTATTTGTTTTTCTTTTTCTGACTGACTTCATTCTGTATGAGAAAGACCATACTTCAAAAAGAGTCATGTACCACAATGTTCATTGCAGCTCTATTTACAATAGCCAGGACATGGAAGCAACCTAAGTGTCCATCGACAGATGAATGGATAAAGAAGATGTGGGACATATATACAATGGAATATTACTCAGCCATGAAAAGAAATGAAATTGAGTTATTTGTAGTGAGGTGGATGGATCTACCACAACTTTGAAGGTTTATTTTAGATCTAAATAAACAGTACCTTAAACTTCAAAGTTGACTAGGGTTATTGTTTTCATCCTATTCCTTCTGTCCTTCAAGTTTTTCTTCCCATGAGAAGAAATAAAACAAAATTAGGGCCTTTAGGCTCCTGTTGCTGCTTAGAGTTTTAACTCAGGAGTTCACTACACTTTTCAGTGACAGATAACTTCTTGGTTTAATGACAAAAGTAGCCTCTTTTCCCCCTACCCTTCCCACCACTAGATAATTCACTGTGCTTGGAAAGATATTAACAGCTGTAGTGGCCCCAGAGAACTGACAAAGCATTTTCAAGCTTGAGACAGACGTGGCAATGGTTTGGTGCTTTTCAGTAGAAGATGGCTTATTCCAGCATTCTCACCTAATAAGCATTTTCACCTGTGGTAGAATAATGTATCTTCCTTTAATTTGTTACAGCTAATGGAATTGTCGTCTAACCTGAACTTCCAATGAGGCACATGCCAGTCAGGTTCATAAACTACATTTTCCCACTTCTGAACATTTAATAAATACATATTAAGTTCCATGTATTTCATGTAGATCACGTAAACCAAAAATACATGCAGTGTAATGTCTTTTAAAATTTTCCCTACAAGTTTACTTTCTGTTGTATTAAAAGAAATCTCATGATTCTAAATGGAAAATACATCCAGATTTTTCAACAGCTCTGATTAACTTTTAGCAATCAGTTTGGCCCTATTCTCCATACATATTATGAATTGTCAGATAGTATTAAATATATTGATGTATGTTTTTAGATATTAAACTCAGTAGCCTGCCTGTAGTTCCAAATTTATCATCTCTCCTGTCTAAAAATAAGTTTTAATAAAATATTTTTTCTATGCTACAGTCTGAAGATTATTGGCAATGTTCAACTGTATTAACTTATTGTATACTTAAAAATAGATATCCAGCTTTTTAAAAAAAATGTTGATGCTTTTTGTGCAGAAAAATTTGCCTAATGATTCTAGAAAGTTTTGCTCTATTGCATAAAGTGATGTTGCCAAACTCCAATTTGTTTCACAATTACTCAGGATCACCATTCAGGAGGGACTTTATTTTTCTTTTCCTAGAAGCATAAAAGCAACCTTATAGAAAGTAGGTTAAAAGATTGGTGCATTTGGAATGATCTTAAAAAATTTAGGCTTAAGTCCTCAGTAATGTACATTTCCTCGTTCATTAATGCAGAAATACTGCACATAGATTTTAATCTCAGAGTTAATAATAAAAGCAATTTTCACTAAAAATATAAAAACTGTAATGGTAGAATCATGATATTGCATTTAGCTCTCCCACAAAAAGTCACTTTATTACTTTCTTTTGACACTTATTTTCATTCTGGGATTAATTTTACTATATAAGGGCTTCTTAACTATTCTATTAAAATTTCTATTCAGAAGCAATAATATCTAAGAGTGAATAATAGTCATGTAAATCATTATTTCATATTAATGTGAAAGATTTTGTAAGTTCTTATGAATTCTGCTGACATGCACAATTGTGAAAAGGTTATCTCTCCTTTCTACAGTGATATGCGCTGGAACAAAGGAACCATTCTAAAAGCATCAGTGGAGTACATCAAGTGGCTACAAAAAGAACAACAGAGAGCTCGAGAATTAGAACACAGACAGAAGAAATTAGAGCAGGCTAACAGGCGCCTTCTACTCCGGATTCAGGTTTTTATAAGAACGTTGCCATGAACCATGTAGCTTACATATGACTTATCCATCATCAGTTTTATTCATTGGTCTCATTTATTTTTTTTCTCATTAACAGTTATTTTTTCTTCCCAAGGATAATTTTATTGCCTTTTAGAAGTTCATGAATTAGATTGATTCAATTAGGTTTTGATTAGAAATCTAGGATCAAGTTGGCTTTAAAAGTATATAATGAATGACAATAACTAATTGCAAAAATGCAGAAAATAGAATCAATTTTATAAACACACAAATATTATCCCAGTCAAAAAATAATAATAAGCAGAACCTTTGTTTCTCTGGATAATATTGGACATTAAGTTCTCCTCTCCCCCTTTTATTTCTATAGTAACATTGCTATGGATTTCATTGCCTTAAGGCATATTATGCCAGTTTATATTGTTACTCCTCATCTGTTCATGTGACACAAAATCTCAGAATATAGGTTTTCATAAGCCTCAAGATTTTTTCTTTAATATGTGAGCAAGCTTACTGCCAGGTAAAACACTCCTGTTTCCATGAAATGGACCTATAGAGAGAAATTAATCAGGAAGAATGACTGGAAGATTTCCACTATCTCCAAATAGTTGTACTGTAGCCTAAGCCACTATGGGACCATTATATGTCATGTATTCCTTTAACGAACAATCTGAGTAGTTTTTAAAAATCTGAGTATTTTCCTCAGGGTGATTTTTCAGGCATTAGAAATATACCACACTCTGTTATTTGCAAAGAATATTTATAATATGTATTAGTCTTCATTTTGAGTGCTTGTTAATATTTTAAATCTATTTGTGGCTTATTCTATAGAGTTGAGTTTACTTTCAAAGTCGTTATTTAATTATTCTTGTTTGAAATTGCAGGAACTAGAAATACAGGCTCGTGCTCATGGTCTGCCAACCCTGGCTTCACTTGGCACAGTTGATTTAGGTGCTCACATCACCAAGCAACAGGCCCATCTTGAGCAGAATTCAGTAGACTATTGCCAACAATTGGTTCTGTCTCAGGGGACAAGCCCTGAGCTCTGTGATCAAGCTATGGCCTTCTCTGATCCTTTGTCACACTTCACAGATTTATCATTTAGTGCGGCTTTGAAGGAGGAACAAAGATTGGATGACATGTTACTGGATGACACAATATCTCCATTTGGAACAGATCCTCTGCTATCTGCCACTTCCCCTGCAGTTTCCAAAGAGAGCAGTAGGAGAAGTAGCTTTAGCTCAGATGATGGTGATGACTTATAAGAAATAAACAGGCTCAATTCATCAACTGGGAATCAATTCTATGCTGGTGCTATGCAATGAAGTTCTGTGTTTCATATATTGCTTTGGCTCAATTTTTCTGAAAGGAATATATTGTTCATGAAAAACTGATTGGTTAGAAACAACAGAATTCACAGGAAGAAGAAGCACAGTGTCGAAGAATTATTAAGAGCAAAAAAGATTTTTTTTCTCTTTGAGTCCAAATCTACTTAAATTTTGTTTTCCTGGAAAGAGGCACAACATAAGAAAAAGCTCTCTACTGATATTTTAAAAGTAGTGACTTGGTGGTGTACTATTAGAACGAACAGACTGCAAAGAATAGACCTTCTGAAATATACATTTTCTTACTTCCGTCTCCTTCCTGTTCAGCTCTGACAATGTTAATTTTCAAGAATCAAGATCGACAGATCTGGTTGTTCATTGCCTTTTTTCCACTGTCTGGGGGATAGTTGTCTAAAGTTCAAGCCTTATAGGGGAACTAATTAAAAAATAGATTATCTACCACTTATAATTGAAAAGTGAATCTACAATAAACATTAGAATTTTCCACAATAAAATACAGAAAATTTATAAAAACTTAGGATTCTAAAATTAGACTCTAATTCCCTTGGTCAGTTCAATCACACTAACTCTAAAAGCATCTTTGCATATTTATGGAGACATGCTCAGTTCAGAAAAAGAACACATTGAATGCTGTCCTCAAGAATACTGGCTAGAATTGTTATCGCTTCACACAAGCATACCCACCGCCCCCCCAAACAGGTACACAATGCAGATAATACATGTTCTTTTTTTCCCCCTTCATTCTTCTGATTTTCTAATCAGCATCTGAAATTACACTCCAAATCCTTTTTACTTTATCAAGAAGAGATATTGGATAATCAGTTTCAGCAAATAAAATCTCGAAAGCCCCCCTACTAGGACAATTTGTTAATTTGTTAAATAAAACTTATCACTGTTTCCAAAATTGGATTTAAATTAATTAGTTGATACAATTTTTCTCCAAATTGATGAAATACTGAAAACTGGATTGCCAACTGACAAAATAATTAGTAAAACAAAAAATCTTTCTTATTACATTCAGCTCTGAGCAGAGGATAAAGTTCTATTCCTGTGAGTACTTAGAGTACCCTACGATCTCTGTTAGCCTTGTTAGCATTTATTATTTATATCTATGGTGCTTCACTCAAATTATTCTCTCTTGAGCTTCTTCAAAGCATTGGGAATTGACTTACCAAGAATGTTACTCTGTGCTAGACCTGCATGAATGATCATCTGATCAATGAGTATTTATGGAGGGATACTCAAAATGGCAGTAAGTTCTGTGAAAATATAGAACAGATGAGCAAAATATGGTCTTATTCCTCAGGGAGTTAAAATGACTGCATGAGAAACCACAACAAAAGATAGAAGACATTTAAAATTAAAGCCTACATGGTGCAGCATAAGCTGCAAATACAGGAGGTCAGAAAAACTAAAAATGAAGATTGGAGAATCACAAAAATGTGTGGGCATAGCAGAATTTAACTTCTTTTAAAAAGCATACATTTGGTGGAGGGGAGGCTATACAGGTGAATAATATCAACCAAATGATAAAAGCAAGAATAAGTTGGGGAAGTGTCTTCATGATACATTCATTAGAAAGATCTGACCACCCTAGAAGACGTCTGTTCGGAGTCCTGAAAAATACTGGCAACAAGTTATGAAAGCCCTTGAAAACCAAGATGAAATGATGTAGCAGGAATAGATTTTTTTATTAAGAGGAAGAAGCCTAAAAACTAAAATGCTACTGTATATTACTAATGTGATTGACATGTAATCTTTCATGAATATTAACTTTGGGATAAACTTTTGAAAGGGTGCTTCAGGTATTACATGAAAAATACGTCATCACAAAATTTGAGATTTTAATGCTAATGAAAGTGGAAAATATTAGATCTTTATGGTGTGCTTATTATCTCAGGCTTAGCTTACAATTAGCTCAGAGTTTGGAGAATTAAAATAATTTTCATTTTTTGACATGAAAAAACTCTTAATTTATAGGAATAGTTGTCAAAGCCAGATAGATAAATTCATCTGAAATAGATCACATGGAAGAGAGCCATAAGATACATTTCCTCAAGAATTTTCAAGAGAACATTTTATACTTTATGACAAAATTCCACTTTATTATCCGAGTTGATAAGTTAACATTGCAAATCATAGAGAAGGAATATATCTTGAAGTCAATGGAAAACACATCATTCTAGATAGAGGCTAATTTCTGTTCTCATTTTATACATTATTCTAATTTCTTCATATTCTGAGAAAACTTACACTGAGGATTTCTTTACTCTGTCATCATTTTCCATTCTGCTCAAATACTACTACTCAGCCTTGAAAGCCATTTCTCATAATCTTAGCTAGTGAATGGTTTGACACAGGATGGTAGAGTCTGGATGAAGGAGATCTGGAAAGGGTAATAATATTTGCTACTACTTACAGATTATAATAACTATCAGCGGATTGTAAAACAGGTAATGGATTTTTAAAGACACAGTGAAGAGTAGTGTTGTGTCACAGTCAACTGAAGTAGATTAAAAAATTAATTTTAGTCATTAGTTCTTAACTTTTAAGGCCTTGATAATCTATTGAAAGTTATAGACTTTCTCCCTGGAAAAATACGGAATATATGTATATATATATATATATATATATATATACCAAAATTTGTATGTGTTAAGAGGTGTGGGGGATCTCCTGAATATCTCCTTGGATCACAGATGAAGAACTCCCACATCAGGTCTGTTGCTCAATTGATAGCATAGTAGCTGTGTATCTATCAAGAGCTAAGTGTACAGTTAATGTCATATGTAATGATGGAGGAGGGAGCCCTAGTTATCTGAATATCATTATCCCAGCCCCAGAAATGATAAGGTTGCATAGGTAAGTGAAAGTGTACCAAACACTAAACTATTCACTAAAGTTGTTCACTTATAAAGTAGCCCCTTTCTAACATCCCCTGTTATATATATGCCTCTGTTATATGCTTATACATTTATGGGTCAGTTTCTCTATGATACATAGATGTTGTAACCATCTGACAATAACATTTTAAAGTTATATAGATATATATAACTTTATATATATATATATATATAAGTAGAAATAATGTAAATTCACAGGCAAATTATTTGAATATCTAAGAATCAAGAGTGATCCTTGGGAAAATTGATGCCTACAATATGTTTTCAGAAATGAGACTTACAACAGTAAAAGAGGCATATTGTTTACCAAATAATTTTGTCACAGAAAATATCAGCTACCACTGAACTATTAATACACAATTAACCGAGCCTTGTTCATTCAAATAATTATTACATAATTTCTATAATAATAAAAACTTTGTTAAAAATTAAATAAAACAATTTAAAAATTATTTTTAGTTATCTTTTCAAGATAAGGTCCCATGCAATCTTTTTTCTCTAAAATATTGGCTTCCTTTTCATGGACTCACACTAAACAACCTTTCCAAATCCCAGTTGTCTTAAAATAACAAGGGCCTCTTACGAGTAGATGTAGCTTTTCATATTTTTTTCTTCTTAGTGTCCTTTCTTATTGAATTTTCCCCATAACTGGAGAATATATGTACAGATCATATTTTCTCAGTTTACAGGTGTGAAGTCAGTGACTATAGCTTTCTAGATGTGGGTACAAGAGCTCTAAATAATAAATAGCCCGATGAGCTGGGGACATTGAGAAATAGCCTTTCTCCTCCTTTTTAAACTCATTCTTTTCCACTCATATGACTGTAAATAAAATAGTTAATAGCTCTTACTTAAAAAAAAATAGACATAACGAGTTTCTTGATTGGTGTGCTCATTTACCTTCATTGTCAGGGGAGAAGTTAGATTACACAAGGTAAAAAAGAATTTATTTTTTTCTTTGTTTTGATAGATTGAGCCATGCTTGAATTTTCTTATACTTCAAAGTATCATGAAAATATTTTTTGCTGCTCTGGTATCATGGAATTTTGATATTTAAATAAATGGCATAACTAAATGTTCCAATGTTTTTACAATATCTCTAGGCTGATATTTATCGACCTTATAATATCTAAGATGTAGATGAAAACTGGAATCAATTAATCTTTTGCTATGTTATCAACACTAGATCAACCATCTGGGTTTCTTGAAAATACCTGAAGGATTGAATTTTGCTTCAGTATTGATAATGGCACAGCCTATATCTGCTACATGGAATTACATCCTTTGCCCTTCTGGTGCCCTGCTTGTTGATAAATACAAGATGTCAATTTGAGTTAGTGTAAGTTACATATACAGAGATTTCATTTCATTTACTTAATAAATACTTAATACATTTAGAGTGTTGCTGATCTAATGCATCTTATGACCTTTCTGTAATCATTATTCATTGTGTACACCAATATCTTATCATTTGTATGATTTCTAATTTGTAAACAAAGTATTCAAAATGATAAAAATAGTTTTCTTAAAATTTTTCTGTGCTACATTTGTTTTCTGTGAGAGTCATAGAGAATTTTAGTATATAGGAGATCATCAGAAAATAATTATTTTGATTAAAAACACCTCCCACTGGATTCAACCAATTTAATGATGAAATACTGCTATCTGCTGCTTTATACATAAAAGGGAACTTTTAATCTTTTTCTTGTAAAGGGATCTGTGTATGTATTTCTACATATCCAAATGATTTCTATTGTGTTTTCTACTGATGAAATCTTCAATAATATATCTTTTGTCCTACATTTATCCAACATGCTTCAAGAATAAAGTTAAAGACTTTTGCGTTTCCAATTCTACCTCTCCTATTCCTGCACTACCATTTTATTTCAAAAGTTCTGTATTTTCAACTTTGCTTTTGCCACAGAAATAAATTTTATTTGTATATCGTTTAAAGTTGGTGATTATATATAACAAACAAAATAGGAAATATGCTGAAAGAATTATATGCAATCAGGAAGTTACATATTATATTATTCTTTACTACATGACTACTGGAGTATAAAAGCTAACTAAATTCAAGGATCTCATCTAAAAGCACTGCAGTTGCTTATGGCATACAAGGCTACAATTAATTCAGCTATTTAATCTTAATAACAACAATGTAGTTAAAAATCTTTGACTTTAATAGCATTTTATATATATGAATAGCTGAAGTAATATTCCTATAATTTTAATCTAACATTGGTTAGATCAAGAAAACATTGTTAGTATAATAAGACTGTAGAATTTGTAACTATTGCTATTTTTCATTTTTAATAACAAAGTCATGTCTTATTTTCTAAGAAAATAGAGAGCACTGGTGTTCTCTAACACATAAATGAATGCTTATACACATACTTAAAAAATGTACCAAAATTTTCTTTGCATATGTATAAAATGAAAGCATAGAATCATTAAATGCTTTAACATACTTTTTGTTCTGCCTTTGTGTATAGATTGCACTGGAAAATATAGAATGTGGGTTAATCATCTGAAAGGATACTTAACAGCCATGAGACTTCACAACTGACAACTGCTTACTTCATAGTCCATGCTGAAAACAGTAATCCAGTATTTCCTTATTAATGAAAGTAATTGTTACATTTTAAAATATAGTCTCCTGCCATCTGCTTCTTAAGCTGTTATGATTTTGATTTATGGAAAATGTTCATCAAAATGTTGCAAAATTGCTAACAGGCATTCTTGTAGCAATGAAATCACTAAGAAACTCTGCAAAATCTTTTAATATACTAGATAGTCCCCAGACAATCTAGGATAAACAGAATACTGTATTTTAATATGTAAAACATTTTAAAGCTGCTAATTGGTATTGACTAGACCTATCCCTTGATAATGAAATTAATAAGAATTTCAGTTAAATGTTAAGACTTTCTAATATTTAATACCATGTTTGTGAATTTTTTTCTACACACCTGCCTCAGAAATAATAAAAAGGATGGCTCTGAGTTGACTATAAAAAGATGCTATTCTGTGTTCAAATATAGGTTCATTGATTTTAAAAAAATGTTATATCAGATAAATTTTTTTCTTAATGCATTATCAATGCCAAAAATACTGATCAATACAATATTTTCTGTGTAGAAAGGAATAACCACTCTAATAAGGTACAGGTAAGTCAGGATGATTTTCTTGACACTACATAGACTGAAAAAAGGATGACTGAATGGGTTCTATACTTGATTGTTTATTGTATGTGTATGTACATATGTGGTGTATTTGGATACAGACACATGTCTGCCTATGTGGGAGCTTATAAAAAAGTCTTCTAATCTCTTGATACTAGGAAAGACTCCACATATAAGAATATGCTATTCTTATGTTATTTTTTTATTGGAACCTACATGTAGGCAATATTTGAAGCTATCCGCAAATCCCTTCTGCTAGAAACACACACACACTCACACACACACACACACATACACACACCCCTTACTCTGAGTTGAGTCAGAAAGATGGAAAAAATGAAGAAAGTTGTAACAAGTTTTAATGTTTTTGTTAAAACAAGTGATGTTTGCAGCTATAAACCTTTTAAATATATTACAAACATTGATTTTATTGACCACCAAAAGGAATATTGAAACCCACCTAAAAAATTGCTATTTATTATTATCGCCTGCAGAGTTCTAGCTGTGGGGTGGTTAAGTGGTAAAATACAATAAGGTTTATGGGTTAAGGACTGGATACCCATCATGTTAAATATATATCAATTTCACTAGTTGGCAACCATAAGACAAGAGTACAGCATTCTAGATGGTGATGATTTTGATAGGACTGACCACAATGTGGTTAAATATAATTCATGTAATAAGAAAAAGGTGCCTGCAGCCTATTGTTCCTAGCATGGATTAAAATTTACATTTTGCTTCTCCTTGTGTCAAAACATCTGGTGCCTGCAAATGCTAACATTTTGTTAAAAAGTTTCACAAGCCAAGAAAAGTAGATTGGAAACATTGCATGTGAATCATTCAAGCATTATAATAGAATAAGAGCTATGTTCAGAAAAAATTAAATTGCTGCAAACAATACCGTAGTCAAGATTATAATTTATTTGCTTACACAAGTGAAAGGTGATGCTGTGTGTTTCCGTGGAGAAAAATAGTGTTTGAGTTATATGGTTGTCTCTTCAAAAATACTTATTTCATGTAATTACATAGAACAAGTAGGTTTCTAAGTCCTTCAAGACTTTAAAATCACTCTAACTATGTTAGAAGCAGTATGTAGTTGTATAAAACCCATTGTAATATTCCTAAGGACAGGAAGAGGGGATCCCTGAGACTTTATTCTGACATTAAATTTCTATTTATTCATTGGTAAATATAAAAAGTAGGTTTCGGATATAGATGAATTACCTTTTCTTTAAAAAATTTTTTTTATTGAATAGATGAGTCACCTTTTCTACCTAGGTCCTCAAATCAATAAAGATAGTTCTTCCAGCTTCCATTCTAGTCTGGCCTTCTGTTCTTTAATCTAAGACCACTTAAAGATTTTCCAACTTTGAGGATTTTTCTCACTACCTTAATCAACGGTTATCATTGTCATGGTCCTTTATGGCTATAGCAGCTAGCTGCCACTTAAAATCTATCTTTGTATTGCTGTTTTTCATAGCCATGCATACCTTCAGTAGATGGATGAGCACTGGAAGCAAAAATTAGCTTTCTCTATATCTCACATTATTTAACACAGTGTCTTGCTTAACATGCTATTTTATTAATAAATGATTAAGTGATTGTTAATTATAGGTGAGGGAAGTGTGCAGGTGTAAGATTCTTCAGATAATGAAATGGTGATCACTCAAGGCTGTGACCATTCATTGAAATGAATCTCTTCCAGTCTCTCTTTGTCAGTTCTTTCAATTGCAGTGAGATAAGCATTTGTGTCTTCTTTTGGTTTATCTAAAAGGTGAGGTCCGAAGTGAAAATAATATCTAAATGCTGCAACAATGGATATAGAGAAATCTTCTACTCTAGAATTCATCCTTTAATTCATTCACCGTTTCTTTAATAAGCATCCCCCAAAGAACAGTGATTGTTGATGAGGGGAATATAAAAGATGATATTTCAGTAAAGTGTAGTATGTGCTATGCTGGCATGATTAAGTGTGCTAGGGAAGCACAGGTCAGGGCATCTGGACCAATCTCAGGGAAACTGAGACCTAAAGGCAATATGAGGGCTAGCCTGTTTCAAGAAGGGGAGGTGAGAAAGAGAAGGGGAAGGGTTCCTTAAGTAGAGACAGTCAGATTACTATGACTAATTCAGGAGGCTCATGAGTGCTTTTGGTATAGGGAATGTAACTCTTTGGGGTCAGAAAATTTAGATGTTTTTGGAGTAATTAGCCTTAAAATCTTCTCAATTCTTTATCACATAAGACCCAAGTTATTCAGGTACTAGGTCAGAGGACCTTTGTGTCCCTTCTCCTAGGCCCAGAGTAAGAAAGTACTTGTGTGTGTGTGTGTGTGGAGGAAGTGGAGGAAGAAGTATACTGAGAAGGTGAACCGAGACATACTATTCTCAAATAGCTTCCCAGACAGGGGATCTTTTTCTTATTAGTATTAATCAAGGAGATGGAGACTGCTCATAGTAGACTTGATATTCAAATCTATGAGTGTGAGTGAGGTCTCAGAAAAAGGAAAAAGAGAAAAAGAAGGATGGAGGGGCTAAGGGAAAGGGGGAGTGGAAGACGAGGACAATGATGAGGAAGAGGAGAAGATGAAGACTTATCATTTCAATGAAAAAAAGCCTATCTGTTTTCTTTTAAATTACTCATAAAAGGAAAGGAAGAAGGTTGAGTCTCTGAATGACCTTTTGCTTTTCAATTTTTATTCTCCACTCTAGATCTTATTGCTTTCAGCAACTCTTTTGAGTAACACCAATCACTTTAGGTATTTTTCCAGAGATCACATTCATTTAGTAGACAAGAAAATGTGAAGGTTCTTAGAGACTTTCAGATCAGATGCGGAGACAGCATGTAATATCTGAGATATCTGTAATAATTTGAGAGCCCCACAGTGTTTGTAGTCAGACAAAGTTGGTTCAAGTCCCTGCACTACAGTTTAAGGTCTGTGTGACCTCGAGGATTCGCTTAATCTCTCTGTGCATCAATGTGTAAATTGGCAACATATTAAGTTGTTAGCGAGGATTAAAACAGAGAAATTGCATAAAGAATTTAGCACAATCCCCTGCATATGTTTAGTTAGCACCCAGTAAATAATAGCTGTGGCAACTATTATCAACTATTTGCTATTTCCTAACAAGTTTTTATTTAATTTTTAGGTAAGCTATTTGGTGGCATGCTATTATCATAGTTTCTGTTAACATATTCAGCCATGTCTTTCTGTCTGTCTATCTAGCCATCTATCCATCCATCAAAAAACTTGATTATTACAGAAAGAATTTGAAGTGCATAGAATTTTTATAATTTTCAAGGAGCTTCCCTATATAATAGTTCACTTATACATCATAAATATTCAAAATCTCAGCATAAAAATGATGAATGACAGGCCTTAGATCACATAACCCAGATCACAGCTTCTCACTCTAAACTATTTGCACTTTTCACCACAAAAATGGTGTTTGTGCTTTGTTGGACATTATTACAGATACAGAGACATTGTAGTAAATAAGACCAAGATGCTGCCTTCATTTAACTTAGGTTTAAATAGGGAATATAGGCAATTAACAAATTAAAAAATAGAAAACAGCAAAATTTAGTAAAAATATAATACTCTGAAGTACTATTAGTCCTATGAAGAAAATAAAGGATGATAATATTATAGACTGTGATGAGAATAGAGATATATGCTTTGAACACATAATCAGGGAGAGTACCATAGGTTAGGTGACATTTGAACAAAGATCACAAATCTATGAGTGTACAAGTTGCACAAAGGACCAGGCTAGGTAGAAGAGAGAACAAATGTGAAAAGGGCTCACTGTGGAAACAACTTGGCCTGCCTGAATAATAGAAAGGCCAATGTGCTGTACTGTAGAGAAAGAGGAAGAATATATTAGGAAATGTGGGTACAGAGACAGAGTCTTCTAGTTCTGCAGGTATCAACTCCATAGCTTCCTGCTACAGCATAATCTTCCAAATGGATCTCATAATAATAGGACAGTCTGGACTTGCTTGTAGGCTAAAATTATGGCCATACGTGTCTGGTAATATTAAGCTGTTTATTCCCCAATTTTACCATGACTAGATTATTACCTGTTAGGATATAAGCAAGTTATTTATTACAACTTCTCCTTTACAGTACTAATTAAAGTAGTTTGGTTAGCACACTGGTGTCTAGGATATTTCTTGTCAGTCATTTGTAGTACTGAATGTGTTTCTCTGCCAAATACCTTGCAGATAAAGACGACTCACGAGTATTAGAAGGCATTTACTGCAAATATGTCAAAAGTCTACTCTAAAACATTTGAATGTTGGCAAA